AAACAGATTCACTGGGGGAGGTATCTTTAAAAGATTTTGAGAAGACATTATGGTGGAGCATGTACAGTATTTACTCCACAGTTATTTTAATCATAATTTACTTACTACGTATGTGTTATCTAATATGCTGCTAATGTGCCTTAAGCAATTCATTTTGCCCACAGCACAGTAAATTGCTGTATAGCCTTGGCCCTTTATTAGTAGCAATGATTAAATCCAATTTTAGTTGTACTTACTACATTTTTTCCACTGCCTACAGGGCATCCCTATGGGGGGGAGAAGAGTTGCTGCTTCTATTCTTAATCTGTCCATCTTTCAACCGAAAATCCATTCTGTACATTTTCAGCAGGATATACTCTACCTCTGTGTTCCTACCATGTAGGGTATTTTTGGCTTTCTGTGGAAAGCAAGACAAGCTGTTTGCAAACTATTACACGAAGTAAAATATAACCATGCTTTTCTTTACGTTGTAAAACCATTATATAAAAGAAAACCTAGCCACCTATCCCTTCCTGCATGTGTGCACACATGTGTGTATATGTGTATGAACCTTATAAGAAACCATACAATGACTTCATATAGGACCAGAATATACTCCTAAATTGTCTGTTGGTGAATTATCATTAGTTGCATTATTTAATTTTGCAAAGCAAGGTAGGGTACAATTTGTGTGAAATCAATGATAGAAGTTGAATTTACAAACTCCTATGTGTCACAAGGCCCGGCCCATGCTTCTTGGAGTTCTAGTAATGGGAATATATATAATGCAGCTTCCATTTCCAGGCTCTGAGTTCTCACAGTAGGCACACACAATGTGTTTTGGGACCTCATTTTATCTGCATATGGATTTTCTCATCTCCGAGTTTGGGTTTGGTCCATGGATCTGCACTTAGTCCTCTGGGCACTGTTTGAAGTTTTTACCTGAGAGTCAGAGGGTGGCTCCTGGGGAGAGCTGTCAACTCAGACTGAGATCCAGTGCTGCAGTAGTGCCATGGGGTTTTACAGAGACTTCTCCACTACCTTTCCTGGCACACTTGTGGCAAGACAATGAGACACTCAAAGCAGCTTCTCTTGTGTCCCAGGTAGAATCCAGGTCTGGTTTCCAATGACAGTGCCATGCTGCAAGGCAGGAGAAATGGCACCAGCCAGCTCCCAATTGATCCTGGCATTCTGCCATGTTGGCAGCACCTGCATAGCACCCTGCACTGAGGAAACTTTGTAGCTTTTCCACATTCCAGCCCTGGCTAAGCTGAGACATGGCCCCTGGTCCTGTTACCCTCTGGCAGTTGTTCCCCATGTCCATTTCCCTCTGTATCTGTCCATTGTCTTCCTTCATTCAGCCTGTTCACTTTGTACTTGCTCAGGGCTTCTCAATTCTTAAGGAAATTCCCTTTGCCCTATTTCTTACCACGACTACTCTCAGCTTCTCCCTCCCTCCTTTCTCTCCAATCCAGATGTTCCAGAACTAAATGTCATTCCTGGTGGGTCCTGCTGAGTGCAAATTTGGAAATGTGGGCTAATGGGGGATCCTGAGTTAATGGGCTTCCCCTCCCATGTAACATTTCTCAGGTTTTGTTTTTTTTTTTTTTTTTTTTTTTTTTCAGCATGCTACTTAGCCTAAAGGAGGAAAGGTGGGAGGTGGGAATATCTTATGGAGTGTCAGGCCTTGAGTGAGGAAGAGATTTTGACAGGGGGACCTTTCAGTGTGTCTGAATGTCTGAACCCATACAGATGCCCACTCATCTCTGTCATCAGGGGTGGAGAGGGGCCATTTCTTTACCAACATGTGTCTCCTCTTATTTCTCATTTTTTCTGGCTCCAGGTATGGAGCACAAGCCAGAACCTCAGTTGCCTGTGTTCTTGTGGTGTGAAGTATGAATAGGCTCTGGATATAGAATCTGAATTCAAGCCTATTCCTGTGTCTTGCTGGCTTACGACCTTGGGGGAAGTCATTTACTGTTTCCTGTCTATGTAACAGGGGTGCAATGCCAGCTTCCGCGGAGCTGCAGGAGGAGGCTAGAGGGTGCAGCGGGGACACATTCTCCCATCATAGACTGATATGTGTGAAGCGTTACTGTGTGGCCTCAGTTACTGGGAAGATCAAGAAGCAAACCCCAAAGAAGCCTCAGAAATGCCTCCCTCATTGTGTAGTGTAAATATCAGTGTCATTTCTGGCTCTCTGGTCAATTCCAGAAGGAAACAATGAGGACTGGAATAAGAGACCAGCCAGCACTAAGGAAAGCAACAAAGGCCAAGGAGCAGGTGGGGATGAAGGCGGAGCCAGGAGTCCATGTCTGGGTCTCTTACTCCTTGCTTTTTAGGTCCTTGTGCTGCTGCTTTTAACACACAGATACAGCTCCTCCAGGGACTGTAGTGCCTCCAGAGACAATTTAATTCTTTGGGGTAAATTACCCAGAGAATTGCCAAATCCACCTGCTAGTTTTAGAGGGAGCCTTAAACAGCCCCACTTCAGATGCTAGCACTGAGTCTGGGAACTTGGGTCCTGGTCAGTGCCACCTTGATCTCACCTTGCCAGCTATCCCCCTAGCCAGCACCTTGGAACTGACAAAAACCTCAGTTGCATAGAAAGCCCCAAATGAAACTTTGACATCTTTGTCATTTTCACATCTTTTCATTCTGAAGATCAAAGCCAATGTCCTTTGGAGTGATTATTTGACTAATTGCATGGCTATAGCTTAGACCCAATTAATAGTTAAACAGCTTTTTATTGCTAAAATTATACCTTTTCCAGGAGTTGGAAAGGAACAATTGCTCTGGCCAAGCCTGGTTGCTGTAATATTGATATCCTTCATGAACAGTAAAAAGATGGCTTTTTTTTAAAAACCTTTTCTGGTTAAATTGATCTCTTTCCTACAAAGACTTCTAGAAATGGGTAGCTTAGGAAGACAGCCTACATACTGATTTTGGAGGATGAAACTGGAGTGTCAAAAAATTATTCCTCCTGGAAATCCACGGACCAGAATGCTTTGACTCACAAGGTTCACAAGAACTTCATATACTTTGTCTCTCTTTCACTTGGTTTTAGAAGTTAAAAATGTTGTCAGTTTTTTTTCCCTGCCCACGTTTTTTTAATTTCCCTTCTAAACCAAAGCATATGTTATATTTTGGTGTGGCCCTCCTGTCATCAGATGTATAATTTCACGTGGTTCATTCTGAATTGTCCCTAATAACCAATTTCTGATGCAATGATTCATCTAAAATGAAACCGTTTCCCAGATCCTCCTCCGAGCATCTCCATCTTGCTCCCTGGCCTGGTGAGCAGTTGCACCTGACACTCCCAAAGGGAGCCAAGGACACTGAAATCATCTTTGTGACACAGGAATTCAGCATCGCTTTGGATAACCGTCTGCAAACTACATTTTCCAAGACAAGGATAAAAAAGAAGCTTGTTCTCCAGTATTGACGGGCAGACAAGTAACAGCGTATTTTTAATTACCTGAACGCACTAGCAAGGAAAGTAGTCAGTTGATAGTTGCCTTCAATATGTAGACTACAAATTATTAGTGCATGAAAATGGCATCCAAGTTCTGTGGCTGGGTCTAGTAATTTTGGATATTTTCCATGCTATTACTGCCTGCTCCATATACCTTTACTGGTTCTTTTTGAAATTAACTTAATAGCACTCTGCAGAAATGGACTGCCTACTGAGAGTGAGCGCTTGCCTGCGAAGATGGACTGAGTTCCCACTGAGAGGCACTGATTTGGCACAAACAGAGAAATGCTTTAGCATTAATTTACTTGAGTATCAAATTATTCAAAATAAATAATTAAAGGGTTTTTAGGTGTGGGAGTCAATATTTGCTTTCAATATTTTGGGTCCATTAACACATATTCTCTACTGAGAAGGGTGAGGGCTCCCCCAGGTTGTGCCACCACAGTGATATATCCCTTAGCTTCCTTCCACAGGTTTTCCCCTTCAGGCATTAAACGTCGTTCCCCATCCCTGAAATTTCTCCCAGTCCCCATTATGCTTCTCCAGCAAGCCTGTCACTCCCTCACAGCTCAACTGAGCAGCCTGTGATGTCCTTCTCTTCTACCAGCCCTGTGCCTGGAGCCCTCCCCACAATGGGGTTCCTCTTTGGGGACAGTATCCTTGGAAACTAAGGGTGTGGGGCACTGGACATGTCAAGGTAATGCAGGGGAAAAGCCCCCATATACCACTCTGGGAACTGCTGCTTGACTGAGTTATTGACCCGATCAGATCACATCTCCAGAGTTACCCCTCTGCCCTTGCGCTTGCCTGGAAGCCCCCAAGACACTGTGATACCCGAATTGGATGTTTAACCATTTCCTCCAGTACAGGGAATGCAACAGCTTCAGGAAGTGTCTCTCAAAGACTAAAGGCTTGGTCAGTAGTGTGACACTATTGCAGGGAACCCTCAAGAGGCAGGACCAGTGAGAGGTCTTCAGGTCATCGGGAATATTTTCTTGTATGGAGTTACGGGACCGTGGGCTTTTCTCTATCCTTTTTGCTTTCTGGCCATAGGTGAGTACATTTTCTCTACTACACAGTCCTACTATGATGTGTTGCCTCACCATGGTCCCATTGCAATGGATGGGAACTTCTAAAACTGTAAGGCAAAATAAACCTTTTCCCTTTTTAAGCTCATCATCTCAAGTATTTAGTTATAGTGATAGAAAGCTAACTAACATAGGAACATGCCATAATCCAACTGATAGTGGAAGAGGCTGTGGAGCAGCTCTAGCCTAGTGGGTCCTCTGTGTAAAAACATGTAGCCTTTACTGAACTCAGTCCACTCTGTGTAGATGTATATGTACCCTCAAGCAAAATGGTTAGGGCTTGATATGCAAGAAAATCAACCTTTGTGTATTATTACATGGGAGGCCACTGGTGGGTGACCCAACCTTTGCATATCGGTGGGTTGGTAGGTTCTGAGTATCAATGGTTAGCCCACTTGGAGACTGTGTAAAGTGAATGTCTCTTTAATTCATTCTCCCTTATCCTCTCTCCATTCAGAATCAGGCAAGGACCAGAAGAGTCAGAGAGAAAGAGAAAGCAGCATTAATTCTAAAGGGCTCTCCAGTCACCCTCCATAAAGACAGAACAATTTCCATTTGAAAAGAACAATTGTTAATGAGCTCTATTCTCCTAGCCTATCACCCTACAAGCAAAGAGGCTGCTTTGAAGTCAACACAGTCTATTATGGGAAAAATAAACCTCTCAGAACAAAGGGCAGTTCAAGTACAGACTTGTGCAGGCTCATGGCACATGCTCAGCCTCACTCCAGCTCCACCAGCTGCCCCATCTAATGATGGCATGAAGCCCTCAGGACACCAGCGTCCTTGAGCATCAGGGATTGGACCCAGTGCCTCTACCCCCACCGGGGACCTCCCCACTCCCTGCTCATGCACCTCTGCTCTTAAGGGCTCCCAAATGGAGCTCCCCATTGGTGAAAGATTTCCCTCCCTTGTTTTCTTCAGGTCCTCAAGAGCCTCAGGTAAGGACATTTTTAGGCTTTATCAAATTGTCCTCTTTCCATGTATCTTTTATTCATGGGAAAAATAACACAGTTATATATTTGGTTCGGCAGCTTTTTGGCTGCATCTGAAATGAATATTTTCCGCCTATAAGTTCAGCAAATAGCAATATGCAACAGTAATTGGAGAATTTGGTCTGTATCCCCTTTTCTTTGAGCAGCGGTAATCTGGTCACAGATGTTAATCATTTTAGGCAAAGGTTTCATTTGTATTATACTACACTATCAGGATGGCTTCAAACATGGAGCAACATACAGTACTCCTTACACAAAAGGAAAAAAGAAAATGGGATCTTACCTAACACAAATCTAAGGCAAGGAGGCTGATTCTATCTTGCTAAAATGTTACAGGCCCTACTGCCAGCTCTGTGTAGGCACCCAGGGGTGGCTGTGCATGTTTAAGCCACTGTGAACACAGCTCATACATGTTCCACCTGTATGCATTTGCTCACTTAGCTCTGGAGCAGTAAGATTGTTCCCAGCAAGGCAGGAAGGGCTTGGAAAAGTAATTTGTGTAGTGTCTTTTAATTGGCATTAAAAATTGAATTTACAGAATTTTAAATTACATAACCCTTTAAATGATATACAGAAGACAGATATTCATAACAATAAAGATAGTAGGACATTAGATAAATTACCCGTGCACCGGTGTGTCTGTCATGAAGGCGAAGCAAACGTGGAACCCCAGGAGTCCTGACTTTTTGCAAATTGTCTCTTTATAGTGAGAAAAACAATGTTCTTTACAATGTAGCCAACACAGTGATTTTTCTTACCAAATTGTAAATAAATAGTATTTTAGGAATATTTAAAAAACTGTACCTTCTAGCACTACCTTTTCACTCTGAAATTTCTTCTTTTTTAATGTAGCAAAAACTACATAGTATTTCTCTCCTATGAATGGACTCCCCTAATCTTCCTGTCTATTATTACGTGACCTCCTGGACTTCTCTTCTCAGAACTAAGCAGTCTCAAGCCTTTTCATCAGTACTGTGTTTCCTTCAAAAGTTTAACCAGGATGAGACGGTCACTGCGGTCCCTGTGTCTGCACTAAGGATACTGCCATTGTTCACATTCATCATGTCTCTCCTGCTTCCTGTATTCTTCATCACCTCTTTCCTCCCAGCCTGGATAAGCAGGGTAATTTTCTGATGGCCTGTTGTAGTCAGGGTTTTCAAGGGAATAGATTTAATACATACACATAATTTATAGTGTTATTTTATAATGCACCGAAAAAGTCAAATGCAGAAGAGTGTAAGTGATCTGTCCATGCAGTAGAGACCCAAAGAATCCAACTCAGGACATGGATCCCCTGGCAATGTCCTGCACAGGTCCAGCTGCAGACCTAGAGACCATGGCAGTGTCCTCCACAAGTCCAGCTAAAAGCCCACGGCAAGTCTGTGTCAAGATTCTGCACCACTAGAAAGGCCCAAAGGTCGATAGTGGAAGCTAGAAAGTCTGCATCAGCAGGATGAAGGATCTGTTGCAGGGGACTGAGAGATCTGCACTGGAGGCAGGAAGCAATGCTCAAGACTCAAGATAACGATGAGAGCTCCTCAAAGAGAACCTCAGAGAATCTCAGCAACAATGACAATGACAATAGCTGAGTTCATATTGGGAAAACCAGTACGACAAGCTGCTCCAGGAGCATCAACAGCATACCCTCTTCCCCTCCACTGCTTTTAGCTATTGGCAAAATCCTAGGTGCACCATGCACACCCTTCATGCTGATTCAGTAAGTTGGGTGTTGCGAGTTGACCATTAGTTAATCCACCACGGTCCCTAATAAGAACTCTATCAATCCTCATGTTTACAACAATTAACTTTATTGCACTGATCTAAGACAAGGGAAGATTTCCTCATGCTCTGTTTTACTCACTGCTTTGTGATAGATAGCAACTATTGTGACATACATCCTCCTAGTTAGTCTTTCCAGTTCCAAAACATTATGTGAATTAAATTATATATTCTCTTATGTTCTGTATTTTGCATTTGGCTTCTTTTTGTTCCATAGAATACCTGAAAGATTCATTTATATTATCATATATAGCAACAATCTCTTCTTTTCCACTGCTATATAATATTCTACCTTATGAAAAAACCACAATGTAACTGTTGATGGGCTTTACATAAGGGTTTTTGTTGTTACAAATATCACTTTCAAGGACATTCTGGCACATGTTCTTTGGCGACTATATGGAGGAATATGTCTCTAAAGTAGAATTACTGAGTTACAGACTATGAGGATGATCATTACTAGACACTGTCAACCAGATTTTCAAGTGGCTAAACTAATCCAGAGTCTGAGAGAGGTGACAAAGGGCTCTGGTGATGTCCTATCTTATCAACACTTGGAATCACTAGTTTTGTTCTACCTCTACATTGGTAGATAAATGATGGCATCCATTTGTGGTTTTAAATTGAAGTTCTCTAATAACTAACCGTGTAGTACACCTCTAATATGCTTTTAGCCATTTGTTCAAATCTTTTTTTTTTCTTTTTGCTAGTACTAGGGATGAAATCCAGGAACTTGTGCATGCTACTCAAAGTTATATCCTCCACTTTTGTTTTTGATTTTTTTTTTATTTCAGAGGATAAAACAATAAAACCAATCGAAGCAAACCAGTGTAAAAGATACAGGACTTCAAAACATTACAAAATCAATAATAGTTACATAATGCCGTTTGATGTCTTCAAAATAGCTGCAAATAACTTTGAATATAGTGAAAAGCAAACAGAACAGAATAGAATAGAAACAATAAAAAACACAACAATGAATGCAATAAAGGACTTCAAAACAAACCAAAAGCAAATGGCTACTTGCTATCAGCTGCTCATGTCATTGGAGTAACATAATCAAACAAAACAAAAGAGAATAAAACCCAACCCAACAAAACATGGGACACGATATAGGACTTCCAGAATAACACCTTAGGGAATCAACAACTGCTGCAACCTTCAGAAGTAAAGAACCCCAATAGATGTCACACTGCGGACCACTATCCTTTGACCCTATGGTCAGACCACTGGCCCTAGACCTCAAGTGTTAGTGAAACACCAAAATACCACAGGCATCCAATTACATTTCACCTCCATAGCTATCATCACAGCCTGTGTTTCTCTGGATAAGTCTGCCACTTACAGTGGGGTGGTGGGATGGGGTTGGGGTGTTGGTACTTCTTGTTTGCCAGCCCACGAGCTGGAAGGGGCTGAGTTCTATCTGTTCCGGTTCACCAGCAGCCTGTGCATGGCACTGGTTCCCAGACTGGGCTTGCCTGCTGGTGCGGCTTTGTTCTCTCTACTCCCGGTCCACAAGTGGCACCCTCATTATTGTTTAAAGTTATAATGAAATATATATATATCAGTTTTTATGCTTTTTGTTCTTCATAAGTATGTGCTAAATTAAATGTAAACATTTTAAATAATTGTAATTCAGATACAATTATAAGAACATCAAAAAATTCTGGGTGTTTTTTTTTTTTTAACCGAGTTTCCCCCAATAGTAACATCCTTCAAAACTATAGCATATGGATGGAACTCAGAGCATTACATTAAGTAAAACAACAAAGAATGGGAAAGAAAGGAAAATGTTAATTACCCTGATTTGATCAATCCATTGTCTGTATGAGTTGAAAAGTCACACTGAATCTCATTAAACATATGCAGTTAATACATGTTAACAACATATAAACAAATAGAAAACTGTATTACAGTATTATAACCAGGATATGAATATAGTTAAGAGATAGTAGATTTTCATCATCTTGAGACTTAATAGTATCTCTTTTGTAGCCCTACAAATTACCTGCCGTCCTGTTTCTCAGCCCTGGAAACCACAAATTCATGTATTCTTCTATAATTTATAATTTAAAATGTTATATAAATGGAATGATGCAGTACGTAATCTTTGGCTATTGGCTTTTTCACTCAGCAATTATAACTCCTTTGGGATTTATCCAAATGAAATCATAGTTCTTTCTTTTTATTGCAGATTAATATTCCATGGTGTGGATCCACTGTCTTTTGTTTAACAATTTGTCTGTTGAGAATATCTGGGTGGTTTTCATTTTTGAGAGTAAGTTTTCCTTTCTCTAATATTATGTTCAGGAGTTCAGTTATTGCTTTGTATTGTAGCTGCCTGTTTAGTTTTAAAGAAACTGCTGAGTTGTTTTCCAGAATGGCTATACCACTCCTACCAGCAATAAATGGGTGACCAGTTGTTTTGAGTCTTGTTAGCATTTGGTGTTATCACTACATCTTGTCATAGTAATTCTTCTAGGTCTGTCAAGATGTCTCATCATGCTGTTTTCTGATGGTAAGGAGGTTGAATATGTTTTTCTGGGCTTCTGTGCCATCTAAATGCTCTCTTGGTACAATGTTTCATCACACCTCACCCATTTCCCAAGTGGATTATTGGTTTTATTGTGTTGGGTTTAGAGTCTATATTCTAGACCCTATTCCATGGTCAGTCAAGTAAGTGGTTTGAAAATGTTTTCTCTTATTCTATTGTTTGACTTTTCATCCTGGTAACAACATTTTACATTGAGCCATGGTTTTTAATATTGATGCAGTGAAAATGTATCAGTTTTATTTTTATGAATTGTGCTTCTTTGTGTTTAGATCTAGAATCACCCCCTTCCCCCAGGAAAAAGCCTTGTGTGCTCAGAAGCTGGGCTTTTGGAAGGTGATTGATCATAGGGGCACTATATTTATCAGTGAGTCCCTCCACTATTGAGTTCATTGAACTTAATGTAGAATTTTGTTTGTCAAAAGATAGTATTAAAAGAATTTTTAAAAAGGACAATAATGGAATAAATCCTTTTCAATACATGAATCCAAAAATACCTCAGATTCTGAGTATTACAGGAACTCCTACAACTGAAAAACATCCCTGAAAATTTTCAATAAATATCTACATACAGCTATTGAGTTTAGTAGCTGAGTGTGCTTAAGAGATAGATCCTTCTGTGCCCTGGTGGAAAGAACCTGGTCGCTGGGGCATGGCCTGGAAAGGTACATCCTCTCCTTGACTCCTTCCTGCCTTCTCTGCCTCCTGTCTGCCACCATGTGAGAAGCTTTTCGCTGCCAGTCCCTTTCACCAGGTTGTTTTGGGAGATGTCCACCATGGACTGAAACTCTGAGCCAAAATAAACCAATCCTCTATGTTTTGGGTATCAGGTACCAGGTCCTAGAGCATAGAAAAGTGGCTAAGAGAATGCTTCGATTGTGTTATTTGAAGACAGGGCTATTTCTTAATTGAAGGATTTCCTATAATACTGAGAATCTGAGATCTTTGTTGGATTCCTGTATCGAAAATGTCTTCTCCCACATCGTACTTTTTTCAATTCTTTTAATACTGTATTTTGATAAACAGAAATTTTTATATTAAATTCAATGAATCATCTTTTCCTTTATGATTAATAGTTTTTGTCTTCCATTTAAGAAATCTTTACCAACTGAAAGGTCACAATGATATCCTCTCATATTACCTTTGTGAAGTTTTTATTGATTTGCCATTTACATTTAGGTCTATGATCCATCTGGAAATGAGGTTTGCACATGGTAAAAGATATGTGTCAAGTTTCATCTTTTTCACATGAATGTGTGCACTATTTTTTGAAAAAGCTTTTGTCACTTCATTGAATAGTAGAGTCACTTACATCATATGTTTGAAAATATATGGCATTCTATGCATATACAAATACATGTACTTATGTACATACACAAAGACACATGTACATATAGCATGTAACTCTGTATGTTTGTGTTTCTGAATTCATTTTTTTTATCTTTGAATCATGTAGCAGTTGTTTTTTTTTTTTTGTTTTTTTGTTTTTTTTGTTTTGTTTTTTGTCTTTTTCCTTTTTATCGGTACTGGGGATCAAACTCACGACTGCCTGCTTGCAAGGCAGGCACTTATGCCGCTGAACTAAATCCCCAGCCCCCATGTATCAGTTATTGAATAAAAAAATTAGTCTTATTAATAAATGATAAATCTTCTGACTTTGAAAATTGTCATTCATATTTCCATATAAATTTTAAAACTAGTTTGTTGATTTCACATACAAAAAACTCATAACGATCTAAGACTCAGATTTTATAGATCCTTTAGAAGATCAACACTAAGTCATCTATTGAAAGCATGTATTATATAGCTGTATATACTCCAGGCTTGTATAAGCTGTGATGGAAAAAATTCAAAATACTTTTAAAATTATGGTTAAAAACAATTAATCCCCTTCACAATATACCCCCTCACTTTGAACACATTTATCCCATCATTCTTGCTACTTTCTGAAGCAACTCTGTAAATCCTGTTTTGTGAATGTCTGTGATTGTGTTGTCATGGATACCTTTATATCCTGAATTAATTCAAAATGTTTCCTTTCCACGATCGCTTTGATGCTGTCAGGGAGCCAGAACTTGTACAGTACCAGGTCTGGTGAATAAGCCTGGAGAAGATCACCCATGTTTGTAAGAGCCCGCCTTTCCATTGGATGGTTCTTTGCAGCCACTAACCATCTTTTGCATCACATCTCATAAAGACAAGAAACAAGATTTCCAGAACTATTTTAAGAAAAATGGTAAGTGACTAGAATGATGGGTGAGTGTGTTAAAAGCAAAAGGAGATATTTTTAGGGCAATCGATGGCAATATATCTTTTACTATAATGACTTTTTTATCTAAACACTCACCATGTATTTTGAGCACCCTATGTAGAATCTGTTTCCATGATGCTATACAATATTTTGTGAAGACTGGACATTTTTGTGTAGTTTTGTTCTTCAGGAAATTGTTTTTCGGGCTTCTCTAACTAAGGAAACTGATAAAAACTCATTTTTTCTAGTTATTTGTTGTGTATAAAAGTGCAGTTTTTTATTTGAGCACCTTGACCTTGAATTCAAATGCTTTGATAAGTTTACTTACTAAGCTTGATAGTTTACCTGCAAGATTTTCTGCAGATATTACAAGTATTAGCTGAAAAACAGTAAGTTTTAGTTCCTTCTTCCTAAAATGAATATTTTTATTTTTCTTACCCTGTTACAATTAGGGCTTAGGATAGCTAGCTCAATGTTGTGATGGTAGTGATAATAGCAAACATATTTGTCTTTTCCTCAATTCCAGGTAGCAAGTTTCAATATTTTATCAGTATATGTGATCTTTGCTGTGTAGGTGTATGTGTCTGTATATGTGTATGTGTGTTATCAAATTAAGGGAGTTACTTCTTCTAATTTTATATTAATGAATATTAAATTTTAATAAATTCTGCTTTTTCTATGATTGAAAGGTTTTTCCTTTAAGCGTCTTCTGTGATTCTTAGCGACTGTAAGACACTTTAAGGCTATGATAAGATCAAAATACTATGACCATATTGCCATACTCATTACCTTTTCTTCTGTATTTTCATGTGCATTGATAGTGCAAAAGCAGTGGTAATTAAATTGTGGTGCCACAGATTGAGTTAACATGATGACACAAATTGAACTAATAGTCACTTTTTCTTTAATGTCACTCATTTACAAACAAAATGCTGGTTTGGTTAAAAATATATTCGTCCAATGGTAAGAAATATTAATTTTAATATTTTGTATAGCAAAATGAGAAGTATAGAGAGAACATTTCTGTATGCAATGAATCTCAATTATTGCCTCAATGAAATCACTTTTGTGATTCCAATATAATCCTGGCACTTTTTCATGGATTTTAATCTTTACTTGAAAAAAAGTGACAGACAAGTTATGTTTATTCCAACTCGAATATTTGGGAGACAATTATGTTCCAAAAAAGAATCAAATGACTTTGTCATTTCCAAAAAGCCTACTGAGATTATTGATTCAGTAATGATAGAATTCAAATTTAAGCAAACTTCAAATTTTAGGAAAACTTGCATTCACGACTTAGTATCAATCTACCACACTGGCTTTCCTGGGACTGTGGGATTTCTTAAGTTGCCACAATATCAGTGCTAGATTTAGAGCAGTGCCAATCCAATCAGAAAATGTCCCCAACAACTATTAGCTAGTTAATGTCCCAATACTTCAAGGCTGTTATATGAGAGGGACAAAGATATTAAGTATATGTCAACATTTGAGCGAACTGCATGACTCGGTTAAATATCACCCACGTGATATTTTAAAGCTATGCATGTGTACAAGTCTTTGCAGTGTGCAAGGCAGACCAATCATAGGTATTAATAATGGAATACAAAAGATTGTATTCCTCAATTTCCACACTATGATTCATCTTTAAGAAAGTATAATTGATAAATTCTGTGTACTGCCAAGGAAGATCATGCACAATTACCTAGCAAAGATGTTAAAACTCTTCTCCTTTCTTCAAGTACATATTTTGTTTTCTGAAGTTGGATTTTTTTTTATCATGTCAACCAAAAAAAAAAAAATCTAACAGTTTAAGTGCTGCTGTAAATATGAGAATCCATTAAGCTAGATATCACAGAAATTTTCTAAAATGTAAAACCATGTCACCTTTTTCACCAAATAGTTTGTTTTGAAAAATGTCATTATTTCTGTTAAAATGATGTTATTTATCTTAGCACGTAATGGATTATTACTGCTAATTTTAAGTAGGTTAATAAAACGCTTTAAAAATTTTACAAGTTTAATTTAGAATGCCACAGTTAATGACCACTATTGTCCACACAAACAAAAAAATTTTTGGAAACTTTAATAACTTTTAAGACTAAAAAGAAACTTTGGAACCAAAAAGTTTAACTACTTTGGCTTAGATCATAATTTTTCAGCCTTTTCATGCATCTAGTATATTCCTTCAATAGTACATATTTCTAAGAGCCATTTTCTTTGCAAAATTTGATGTATGTTATTTTTATTACTATTGAGTCCAAAATATTTTAAAAGTTTTCATTATGATTTCTTCCTTGACCATGAATTTCATTGCATAATTTCCAAGTAATTTAGAATTTCATTTTTTGTTGTTATTTATTTCCAGCTCAGTTCTACTTTGATTATAGAACATAGTTGAACTATTTCAGTTCTCTGGAATTTGTCAAGATTTGTGGGATTTAACATACAGTTTTTTTTTTTTTACTTAGAAGCCAAATTTTATTAAAATGTAACATATATACAATTGTGCACACAAATCTTACATATTCAGTTATCTTAATTTTCATAGCAATGCATATCTGTATAACTGCCACCACTGAATATCTGCCATTCAGATAAAGAACATTCCTGTTCCCTCAAATTCCTAATCCCTTTAACCTGGAGATTAGTTTTCTAGTGCCACAGATTTTTGTTTGTTTGTTTTTGAAAGAATCAACTCTACCAGTATGTAATATTCTGCCTGGTTTCTTTTGCTTGACAGGAAGTTTTTGAGATTCTTCTACATTGTCATACATGCCAGTCTTGGTTCACCCATGCTCAGAAGTATTCTGTAATGAATGCGTTATCATTCCTTTATTGGTGCTCTTGTTGGAGATTCAACTTCATTTTCGTTACTGGCTTTTGTGAATAAATACACTGTGAATACTTGTATACACACCCTTTGTGGGATTAAATGTGCAACCTTTTTAGTAAATACATAGGAATGGGATTACTGAATCATAGGGTTGCTTATACTGCATGAAATGATGAAAAGGAGGAACTGTAGCCATTTCCTTCCCACTGGTTGTAAGCAGTGTCACAGCCCCAGTTCTACTCGTGAGAATCATCTTGGCCCAGGACTGATGATGCTTTACAATTTTCATGTGTATTTCTTATTGGAACCTCAACCAGTGTGTGAGACAATGTACATGTTCTTTCCATTTGAACAGGATACCATGACTCCAAGAGATCAGGTGACTTTTCCATCATCTTTTGCTATCAGGCTGCAGTCAGGAACAGAATTCAGGAGTCTGGTTCTTGGTCTTGTTCTTATAACTCTTGTTCATCTTCCTAGAGAGGCATGCACAACACAAACTATCCGGGAGGAGAAGGTCAGGAGGGCTCACTCAGGAAATACAAAGCAAAATCATTCACAGATGCATTCACTGTCTTTGCAGTTAACGAGCCAGGATAAAACGCCTGCCGTGATCCAGAGAACAATGTTGAAGCATGACCTGGAATTGGACCCCGCCAAGGACTATGAGTTGGTGCAAGTCATCTCGGAGGAAAGGTGAGCACGTGTTCCTTCTTGTGACAGGTGCCAGCAGCATGTCCAGAGCTCTTCCTAGACACTCAAGGCAAAAAAGGGATATAAACTTTTGTTGGTACCTACGGGTGGCTTTTCATCATGCAAGGGTGAAGAATCCGTGCTATCACCTCAGTTACGGAGTTAAGTGTCAAGTTGCTTTCTCCCACTCACCAACTCATGTTCTCCTACACTTCTGCTCAGAGGTCTTCTGCCTGTTCTTTGTATGCTTCTTGTCAAGCAGTTTTCTAGGAGGAGATTTCTCCATGTGGGGAGAGGCAGGATGTAAGTGGGAATCTGCTGGATCTCCACAGAAGGCCATATACTTCTTTTTCCGGACAATGTGTTTCTCAGTTATGAAGTTAAAGGTTAGCAGTCTGTGTAAGAGTTTCTCATTATTTCTTTTTTTAACTTTATTTGAAGAGAGACAAAACAAAACAGAAATAGTGCATACATTCAGAGAAAAGAAATAAACAGTAGTAAATCACTAGTTGATGTATACATATTGTCCTCCCACAAATAATTGTTCAAGATACAAAAGTGGAACATATAAATGGGAATTCAACCAGGGAGACTGCAAACAGTTCTGTTCAACTGTCCAACAAAAACTAAGTAATATGGCTATCAATCCTATACACTTAGACATGTATGCATTTGTCCATATCTTCATTTATGTTGAGAACAAACAAAACATAGCAGATTAAAATCATTCTGAACAAAGATTAATAGTATTGCTGTATTTCACATCATGACACTTCAGAATCAACGCTGGGTACCACAGTGCCCCTTTTTTTCCTTCAAAGTATTTGTTCATTTCATCATGTTAACATACAGGTTTTTTAAAGAAATGTTTTATATACTTTTATAAAAATATATACCCTGCAGTTGCTGAGTGTGGTAGTCTATGTGTATCAAATAGGTCAGATTTGCTAATTATAGATTTCAACTTTCTATAAACTAACTGATTTTATTTTTTCTACCTTTATGTCATCTACTGAAAGACACATGTTAAAATCCCAACTAAATTTGTGGATTAATATGTGATAATTTACTTGTCACTGACCTCAATATTTTGAAGTCATTTTATTAGGTGAATGTCCCTTTTGTCAGTGTGGAATATCCCCCTTTTATTTATAATATTCCATCTTCCCTTAAAATCTCCTTTGTCTGGCATTAAAACAGGCATATGCACCTTCTTTGGGCAGATGTTTGCAGGGAATCTGTCTTTATTCTTTGTGATTCAATTCTGCTATTATTAAACAAGCATCAACCAGCAGATAGATAAATAACATGCGGTTATGCTTTTAAAATTTGTTTAAAAGACAGTATTAGAGCTGGGATTGGTGGTGCACACCTGTAATCTCAGCAGTGTGGGAAGCTGAGGCAGAATTACAAGTTCTGAGCCCAGCCTGAGGAATTTAGCAACTTGATGCAACCCTACGTCAAAATTAAGAAATACATAAATAGAATTTTAAAAGATCTGGGAATGTGGCTCAGTACTGAGAACTTGGGTTCAATCCTCAGTACTAAGAAAAAAAGAGAGAAGGGTGGAGGGTGGGAGAGAGAAGGGGAAGGGAAGCATGGAGAGAGAGTGAAAGAGAGAAGGAGGGAGGGAGAAAAAAAGAAAGAGGAGTAAAGAATATTATTTGGCATATATTTATTCCATTCTTACTTTAATGTAACCTTTAGTATAAAAGGATTATAGTTGATCTCATTCATAAATACTTGTGTTTTTCTCCTATCAGGCTGTTAGTTACACCCTTTTAAAATTTTCTTCTAATTAGTTGTGCTAGAGATTATTGGTGGACCCACCTTAGTCTGAGTGGCTTGTAAATTCTTGAATTATTAGAGACAACCTCAACTTTGTTACTTTATCGTCTCCCCAGTGATACTAGGGCCTTTTACTGCTTTCACTATTTTTGTACTCCTTTCTCTTCCCCTTTATGGTATTGTTGCTTTCTGTTTTAATTCTACTTAAATTATTGTAGTTTTAAATAATCATTGTTGTATCAGATTCAGGTCCACATTTACCCTTTGTGTTCTTAATTTATTACTGATTACTCTGCTCCCACTTAGGAAGTTTTGCCTAATAATTAATTTGCTCTATTCTGTCTTTTAGTATGTGTCTACTGAAATAAATTCTCTCATTTTCCAAATGTTATATATTCTTCATTTTCAAAGGACGTTTCAATGAGCCTAAATTCCTAAAGTAGTAATTGCTTTTTTCCAGCATTTGGAAGAGTATTCCCATTGTCTTTTGTCTTCTTTCATTTCATTTGTAAAAATAGCTGTTTGTCCTGTTGTTGTTCTTTTGTGTATCTTTGGCTGCTTCTGCTTCTTAGACTTGTTTCTTTGATTTTCAACAGTTTAATATGAAGAAGTTTTGTATTTATTCTTTTTGTGGGCTTGCAGACTATATTGGCATCACTCTGTCAGTATTGGAAGCTTCTCTGCTGACATCTCTTCAAATGATGCTTTTATCTTAGTCATACCATTTGCCACGTAGCTTGGCTTTTCCTTTCTGCCCCAACTATCTTGTACACTATTAACAGTGTTTTCCAACTTTCTTCCTTGTGTTGATTTTAGATATTTCCTATGATCTTACTTATCAATTCACTTATCTTCTTTTCTGCTGTATCTAATTTTTAACTAAGTTGTATTTTTATGCAGTGTATAGTATTTTTCATTTCATTTTTTGATATTTAGTCCACTTTCTGGTGCAATTCTATCTCTATCTAATTTCTTAAATGTGTTCATTGTACTTACTTTAAAGTTCATTACCAATCACTCCAATACCTGGGTCACCTGTGAGCCTGCTTCTACTATCAATTTTTGATATTTATTCCTATATATGTGTCACATGATATTTTTTCACTGAATACAGAATCTTGCATATGAAGATGAAATGGTCAGGCACCTGGACGCTGTTGGCTCTTTTTTCTAGAGGAGGTCGCGTGTGCTCTTGGCATAGCGAGGCTGAGTTTCTGGCTTTGGGAGGGATTGACCTATTTTGGTTGTCCTTACCCTTAGGCTTCGGTCCTTCAGGAACCTCCACTGAGACCCTGCAGTGCTGACTGGCCCCTCCTCCTCCGTGGGCTCTGAACTTCCACTTTTGTTTCCCCAGGGCTGTGAGTCTGCCAAAATCCCTGCTTAGCTTTTAAGCCTCTTAGCAGCTGCTTTCCTCTGGGTTTCTCTTCCCTTTGCCCCATGTCTGGGAAGCTTTGCTGTGACGAAGGTCCCAGGGGCAATTGGGCGAACAGTATGAGGCTTCTTTCTCTGGGGCTCCCTTAGCACTTGAATCTTGGCCTCTCATTTTCCAGCTATGCTGCACTCCCACGTTTCGTCTTCTCACCCCTCCAGACTTTTCTAGGTTACTACTTTCCCTGTTGACTCTGCTTCCTATGTTGTAAATTGGCAAATACCCCAGTGGGAAGAAAGCATCCATGAATAAGAGTTCACCACGATGCGTGTCCCTTCCTCTGGGATCTTGTATCTTAAGTCCTGGCTGTCTCAATTGGTTTCCAGTGTCTTCAAACAGAATTTTTTTTTTTTTCTATTCAGCTTTTATAGTTGTTCTCAGTATCAGTATCACTCTGATACAAGCTTTCCCTGTCATAGGCAGAAACATTAGAAATTTTCATTTCTTTATATGAGTTTTTCTAAAATCTGTTTACATTTGCCCTTGGACTATGTGCAATCCTAGGAGCTACTCCTGGATTTGTGCTGCATTTGCTATTTGAAAATGGGTCACATCTGTTTTTTTTTTTTTTCCTGTGAATTTTGTTTTATGTATTGTAAGACCTCTTGAGATTTCCTTCCTTCCTTCCTTCCTTCCCTCCTTCCTTCCCCTTCCTCCCTCTTTCCTTCCCTCCCTCTCTCCCTTTCTCTGTTCTTCCCTCCCCCGTTCCCTTCCATCCTTTCTTTTTTTCTTCTTTGGCTCCTTCCTTTTGTGCTGGTGACTGAACACAAGGCCTTCACATGCTCAGCATGCAGTCTGTTGCTGAGCTACACCAACAGCCCCTGTTGACATGCTTAACCTGCCAAATTAGGGGTTATACTGACTCCTCAAACAGGGGCTGGCCATGTGGGCATTACAGCTACTGTCCCAGATGGGGAAGGAATTACAAGGATTTTTCCTTTGGAGACCTGGATATGAGATATAGTGGCACCTAATGTGGTCTCTGGTTTAGATGCACATTCAAACGGTCTCTCAGTCAGATGTGCTCTGACCCTGAAAAGAGAACCAATGACCAATTTATGGTGCAGGCTGCTTCACTGCTGCCCACAAGACAGATTGGGTTGTTGGTACCTACTGCTCAGAACTGCACTGAGCAGACCAGTGCAGATTTTCCTGCCTGCAGCAGTATCTCAATTGTCTGCCTTAAGTTTTAACTATCAAAACAAACAAGTTCTGGGTCATTATTCCATGGTGCCAGCTGGAATTAGGATCCCAGCACTTCTCCTTGTTCCCTGGTTCCTGAATAGGCCCAGATCATTGCTTCTGTGTGACCCTGAGCACCTAACAGCCTATTCTTCTTTAATGCAGCCAAAGTCTTCAACATAACAGAGCTCTTTGCTTGGTTTTCAGCTTTGTCTGCTCTTTCTCATGCTCATCGACTGGTTTGTGATTGGCTTTATTCCATGGCCTTCTTTATTTTGAGCTTCCGCCACCTAGTTCTGGAACTAGGTTTAAGTTGTCAGTTAAATTTAGGAAGCTGGGAAGCATGGAATGAGGTTCCTGGATTAGGTCCATTGGCCCAGTTTACAACCTGGAGTCACCAATTCATAGGTCTTGAATTCACAGCACCAGAGTAGGACCCCGATATCTCAGCCACACGTCTGTTTGATATTCAGCTTGGCTTCAGGACCTCATTCTCAGAATGAGCCTTATTTTGTTTAAGAAGTTTATTTAATTTGTTTAAGTTTTTAATGGTAAGGATAGAGATCCTTTATGCACCCTGGCAAGGGCTCTACCACTGAGCTGA